TAGAGACTCATTGGAGAATCAAATTCCCACATGATATAAACACAGGGCTGGGAAAGGTTGACAGAGTAGGTTTGCAAAGCTAGACACCTAGAAGAGAAGCAGGCAGCCCATTAAAGAAAATAAAGCTCAAAGTGTGTCCAGCAGATGTACTCTGTCAGTTTACTTATGGAAGATTATTTCCTGAGGAAAGAGGCAAAGGTTGTGACACTTAGTGTCCTCTCACCTGTCATCAGCATCTCCAGTGTGTCACTGTGCTCTGGCCATCCAGCAGATTTGTAAGAGTAACAGTTACATATCCCAGCATGATGTTTTTCTATGGATGCTATGGAGAACATGGCCCTGTTAGCAATAACTTTTGGAGTTTGACTGTCCCCCCCCAACAGCAGGGTTATAGAGGGCAATGGCAAGAATATTGACAGCTGGTTCCCCAGAACTCCCCCTGAGAGAGAAGCTGTCAGACCAAGCAAATTTCAGGCATCCACAGTACCAGCTCCCATCTGCTGTTCTCTATATGATCTGCTCAGGATGGTCCTGTGGCCTCCACCATGGATGTCCAATCAGGGACAGCTGGGAAGATATTCACCCACTAGCATTGGGTTCCTGAGATTCAGTCCTGCAAGAGTTAACTTTGAATGTTTGCACTGAAACATGAGCAGGCTCTCCACTTCCAAATGTCTTCTAAGCTGCTGAGACTTCCTGAGGACCCAACGCATGGTTGTGAGGTGGATTCACTCTCAGACTAGAATTCTCTCTACCAGTCTTTGCATCTCACCGAGATACAGCACAGATACCAGAAAGGTTGTCATGGCATCCTCCAGTTACCACAAGTTTGAAGACAGTTCTTCTCCTTGCCAAATGGACAAACACAAAGTATATGGACTATGTAGGGTGGCTTCTCCTTCATGTCATGAGTATGAAATAATACCAGCCCTTCGGAAAGAGGAACTGCTCTTCCCAGGCACCCGAATCTTCTTTTCCTAGTGCTGTGATGGGTTGGGCTACAGAATATGTGGCTTCTGTCTCTTGGTGGTTCCTTGGTTTCAATTTTTGTCTCTTAGACCGAAACTCTTGAGTTTCATGCAAATGTTAGACTCCTCCTGCTCCCTCAGTTTCCTGTGGCCTGAGATTACAAATATAAATCTGTTGTGGTCTCTTCTTTCAGAACATCTCCATTGTAACCATATACATATGCCTGGATGTTTCCAATCTCCTAAAACCAGGACTTAATAGGAAATAAACCTAATGATTTCCTGAGCCAACTTTATCTCTAAGGGTCTTGTCTTTTTCTCTCAAGATTTCTTCCTGGATCTCCTTCATTCCTTTAGCCAAAGGAAACTCATGGCCTGTTTCCTACCCTGCCCTGGACAAGCTTTAGTGACATGTGAACTTGTCCTGGGGATACAAGAACAATGTCTACTCACCCAGATTATACACAAGTGACAGAAACAAAGACAAGACTCCACACAAATCTAGTTGGTGAACCAATGAGATATATTAGGGTGGCTATGAATCATATGTTCAATCTTTTTTGGTTTTGGTGTTTTGATTTGCTTTAAGATTTTTAGTTGGTCTGGTTTATGTCTGTTTCATACAGGGTCTCACTATATACCTCTGGGTGTCCTGGAACTCACTATGTATACCAGAAGATATCAACCAACCATTCCCTCCTCCCAACTGTTGAGAACAGTGTGGTCCTTTATGACAAGCAATATTGGAAATGTATCAGTGGTTATATCCCTGGAAAAAAGCTTTGCACTGTAACTTTTAGCTGTCTATAGTTCTGATTGGTGAGGAGTGGCAACCATATTCCAATTTGGGTCCTCAAATTCCAGCCTGCCTAAAGCATCCACAGAGATGCCATGCTGCTCAGGTGGGCTAATGACACTTGGCTGTCTAGGTCCTCAGAGTCCAGCCTGCCTGAAGCATCCATAGGCTGTCTGATGTCAAGCAGCTCAGGTAGGTGAAAGACAACTACAAGGAAGCCTGGGACCTCACAGTCCAGCCTGCCTTAAGCACCTAATGTTCTCCCAGGACCGTGTGGGTCAGAAGGTCCAAAGAATCCCACAGGGAACCCTGTGTTATCATGGTGCCAATATGATGATGAGCAAGTATATGGTGGTAAATTGTGAGAGGAAGAGAGGAGGAAGAGGTTCATGTGCTGTGGTGAGAGGCAGTTCTGAAGAAGTAAGAACATGGAGGAATGGGCAGATGCTTCTACCACGGCTATGCTAATCTGGATAACTTGTGCTGACACCCAGACCAGGATGACATCCAAGCCTGGAACCACGACTTGGTCTGTCGTCCTATCACGATTGTGGTCTGTGTTGTCCATGACCCACAGCTCCAGCAAAGGACACACAAATGTCTAGGAACTAGGTGATCTCTTGTGGCCATTTGGGTGTTCAAGGTCATGCTGCCACTGGGGCCATGCTGTCATCTGCAACAGGGCTGCTGATGAGAACCATGTCTGGGTTTGTAGCCTTACCACAGCCAGGGTCTGTGTTGATGTCCATGGCTCCTGATACCAATCAACGCAATGACGATGTTAGGGGTCTGGGCTGCCACATAGGTCCAAGTTGTTGTCTGAGGGCCACACTTCCACAGGGGCCTTGTTGATCTGAGTAGCCTATGCTACCACTTAGCGCCATGGTGACATCTGAACCTGGGCTGCTGCTAAGGAGCATGTCTGTGTCTGTGGTCCTATCACAGTTGAGGTCTGTGTTTTCCATGGCCTGTGGTGCCACCAAAGACCAAAAGGATGTCCAGGGTCTACCCACAACCTATGACCATGTTGGTGCCAAAGGGACTTGCTTCTGTTGGGACCAAGGTATCACCTGGGCCAGGGCTGTTGCTGAGGATCATGTCTGAGTCTGTGGTCCTACTGCAGCCAAAGTCTGTGTTGATATCTGTGGCTGCTGACACCATCAAAAGCAGTGCTGATGCCAGAGGTCAGGGCCACCAGCAGTGGCCATGAATGATTTCTAGGGCCTTGTTGCCATCAATCATGCCAGTGCAAGTGGAGTGCACAGCAATATGGGATCAGGCCATGGCTGCTGCTGTGGATTAGGTCTGGGTCTGGGACCCAACAGCAGCCAGAATCTACAGTGCTGTGGGCAGCATGTGCTGTCACATTGTGTGATAGGAACCATGCGTGTTGAAATCCAATACCATGCTGAGCCAGCTCTGTCCCTACCTGACCCTGCCTATTATTGGACACTAGAGATCTGGCACTGTCTCCCCATGGGAGAGCTGACTCTAGCGTTCAGTAAAAATTACTCCAACACTCACCACAGGCATGGCAGACCTGACCCTAGTTGTATTGACCAAGGAGTGCTGGGTCTGCCCCTTGCCTGACCGTGGTGCTCCAATAACCCAAATCAACCAGATCATCTACCACTCAGACCCACATTCTGGGCCCACCCTAACAGCTGTCCAATCCATGACTTTCTGAAGTGCATGAAGGGCCTGGACCTGCCAAATTATTACCATAGGATCTACATAACTCAGGACACAAACAGGCTGTCCAAGAGAAGCTTCTATGATGGCATAGTGATGAAGGTGGACCAGAAACCAGAGACTGAATTCAGACTCATTGCAATGAAGCTATTGTGGGTGGGGCTGATTATAAAAAAGGGGTATACTGCATGATACACCACAGCTCCTGATGCCACTCAGATAAATGAAGAGGTGTTGCAAAGATGGAGGAGTGAGCTGGCTCTTATGATTTTTTTTAATTTATTTGGGAGAGACTACTGCAGGAGTCGAGGGTGGATATGGAGGGATTGGGAGATGAGTGGAATTGGGGTGCATGATGAGAATCTTCCAAAGAATCGAAAAAGAATTATGTTTTAAGATAAATAAGTAAATTAGCAGAAACCTCACAAAGTGTTTGTGATGTATACTGACTGGATGGAGAGTGCAATGTTTTGGGGGCATCATTGTGTTTTCTCATTCTTTTAATTATGTAATTGGAAATGAACTCACTATTTTCTGTTGTTGTTGTTGGGTTGAGACAAATTTCTTCTTCATAATAACAACAACCTCCAACAAAAAAAATGTGCACATAAAGCACAATGAAGATTATAGTGGTCTATAATAAAGGAAAATATCACATGGGACTGAGGAAAATTAGAACATATAAAGAGATGAGGACCCAAAACTCACTGGTGGGACGGTATGTTCCCCACATTATAGAATGAAAAGAAAGGAAGGAAAAATCTTCAAATCCACAGCAAGGTAGAATGGAAGACCTCTAATGTGGTAGTAGAGGAGTCAGCTGCCACAATATTCACGTCTTTTTCTGCACCCAAAATAAATTTATTTCCTGAATCCTTTCTCACAACTGATGCCCAATATTAAACATGGAATCTTCTGGTAAATAACACCTGATATTCTCAAATTTATTTCCCAGACTTGGTCACGAGGCAAGGACTATGGCTGTCTCTCTTCTTCACTTCTAGGATGCATTCAAGGACCTTCTCTGGCTGTGGCAAGCTTCAAACAGCACAATCCCAAGAACTATGAGGATCAAGCCAGCTATGACCATCCGGATGAGGTTCTCCACTGTGTGATCCTGGGACTGCGAGGCTGGAGATCGTGAACAGAGATGTCAGGACCAACAAAAGCCACCATAAGATGACTAAATTTTCCCTCTGACAGCTCCCTCCCGTCTAGTTCCATGCCCTAAGCCAAATTCTGGTTCCATGCCATAAGCAGAATTTTCCTTCCTCATTGATCATGGCTTCTGACATATTTTGTGGTTGGCTTATGGTCTCAGGCATCCCTGACAAAAAAAAGATTTGCTGGGTGTGTGCAGTGCTCAAGAGAAGTGATGCTTTTTTGTCAAGTTTCATCTTTTATTTTCTACAAATTCACATTATTCTCATCATATAACATCATGAAAATGTGGGAAGAACTCTTTCTCTGCAGTAGCAGCTTCTTCCTGTTCTTTGACTTGATTTCTTCAGCCTGACTATGCTCTGAGTTCAGATCAGCTGGACAAGGCTCTTCTTTGAAACAGAGTTTATCTGATTACAGAGAGCTCAGATGGAAAAATGTCATTTCTGCCTTCACAGTAAAGGAGCCTTCCTGTTCTCCTAGATCATTCTGCAGTATAGAAGCCAGGAAGATAATACCCCCAGGAAAATCCCAAGATCTAGCCACATAGTCTTATTCTCAGGGTCCCCTGAATATCAGGTGGTCAAAATAGTGACAGTCTGGGCTTATATTCCTGCCCCACCCCACAGGGTTGCTATGATACTTCTGTCCTAAAACATTAAACAATAGGCCAGTATTAAGCAAGTAAATATTTATTTTTAATTAAATAATACTTGTATCCATATTTGGAGAGGCTATATGGT